GTGGAGATATTTACTTGCCCAGTTTCCCTCCCTATGCTCCAGAGAGCAGCCAGACCTACCCAAACCTGCGTTGCCTCCTGGAGGTGCTTCTCCATCTCTCCCCTCCTAACATCCGCGCGCCAAATTCAGAGCAAGAAGTCATATGGTGTGAACCTGGGACTTCACATTCCCATGCGGTGGTGCAAACCCTCACCTTCTCTCCAGTTACTGCAGAAATTAGGTCCCTCCCAAACTTGATAGGGAGAGCACGAAGAGAGGAGAGCTACGGGCTTGTCCTCCACCTCAATTCATTTCAACATGTTTAAATAAACACAGTTGTGTTCTCCAATGCAGAGAGAGGCATTCTCACCGACAGACCAAAAAAAGAGCATTTTCATGCAGATCTCTGGGTCCATGCAGATCTCTGGGTCTGCACATGCATGTTTGGAGACCCCTGTGCTTCAGGGTTTTATGTAAACCAAAGACTTTCCTCTACTGCTCACCACTACCTTTTAAATGTGCCATAAAAGCATGCATGCTTCTGGAATAAGAAATAGGTTTCATCACAACAGTTGTGTCTATGGTCCCTACACCAGGAAGCTTAAACATTAGCTGGTCAAGAGTCACACACAGTGGGAGAAGAAACACAACACATGCAAAAATGTGTAGCAAAAATGATAAGCCAGAGGGAGGAAAAGGTGCTGAGAACTGGATGGAAGAGAGAAGGAAGGAAGAGGACATGGGGAGACCAGGTGGAAACGACCACAGCAGGTCCCAGAGCAAGGGATTCCCCAACTGAGGGCACTACCGCTCCACACACCATATTTCAGGTCCAATTTCAGTGAAAATGGGACTCCTGGACATTCAGGCTCCTAAACGTCCACAGACAGCTGATGGAGACACAGGCGCTGGCTGAACCCCAGCTGTAGTGCCCTCCTCAGCACACCTCCACCTCCCAGAACGGGGGGACAGCAGACAAGTCCACCAAGCACTGGACTCCATTTGAACACCTTCCTCCTGGGCTTTGCAGTGCCTCTTCATCTCACTGGTTTTGCTCTTGCCACCTTGCAACACTCAAAGGACAAGTTTGGGTTGCTTGGACAACTGAAAACAAGAGGTACACAGGCTGGGAAGCAGCCGCTGCCTCCAGCGGCTCATTTTGGTGAAGACATGGAGTATTTAAACATTTCCCTTCCCCTCACACACACCCGTTTGGGAATAATGTATTCAGAGACATGTTAGCCAACTGCGCAGGCAATATAATACTTTTGGAGAGACTGAAGCACAGGCACAGTGAGGTTCAAGATCCCCAGAAGCTTTTCCAAAGCATCTCCCTGCAGAGCCTCAAGGGATGGTGCAAACTCCTGCATATCTAAGACAAGCACGGTAAACTTGCGTAGTTCTTTTAGAAACCATCTCACAGACACCTGGTGCTCTGTAGCTCCTGGCCTGACAGCCACCGCTCTGCCAGCAGCATCAGGGTTTGACCTGAAGAAGCCAAACACCCAAATCACTCAAGAGGTGCAGTTGCTTTCTGAATCTCCCGTTTGCCTGCATTTTGAGGAAACCTTCACTTCTACAGCTGGTGTGCTGTTTTTTTTCCCCGTGTCCCAAACCAGGCAGCACCCAAGCTGAATTCACAGCTGTAGGAAGGCAGGTTTTCTGCAGGCACTTGTGAATGTGGCTTTTTCTTGGCTGCCTTCCTGTAAGGAGGCAAGTGCTGGTGTTACCGATGCAGCACTCCCCTCTGGCTCCTATGTCAAGTTCCCAAGAAAAATCTGCCACATTACACCTTCCGCTGCTTCCTCTCCTTCCTGAGGCCACAAGCAAGGACTCTGAGAAGGCGGAGTTTTTCCACTGTTGTGTAGAAATAACTCATCTTCCAATAAACCAGTACAACCAACGTACACCGATCTCTAATATACCGACCCCTAAAAGCAACTACAGGAGGAAACTAGGTATGTACAAAATGGTATTAAGCTCTCTATTATGCAGGTTTAATTTTAAATAAACAGAGAGCATCAGGATGCTCTCTTCTCCAGGTTGGGAAGGTCGGAGCCTGGGGCGGGCCAGCAGAAGGCAGCTAACCCCTGCTGCAGGGCTCACTAAGCAGAGAGAAGTGGGTGTGCATCTCTGCACCCCAGCAAGGCAGTGCAGAGACCCCGCGGGCTTTCACATTTTATGTCTCTGTCAAGTCATTTCTATTAAGACATTTCTCCCTTCAGAAAAGGAGAGGCATTTTCTGGAAGGGAAATTGACTGTCCTACCCAATTAACCAAGCCAGAGTTTACAAGAAAATCACTGCACTGAGGTAGCATATATCAAATGAATCTATTCTTACTAGATTCTGTCATTTATTTTATCCACACACCTTTCTTGTTCCAGCACAATTTAGTCATATTTTTGGCCAAAGCTCTATGCATCAGGACCATTGTAGCTGGATTTAAAAACAAAACAGCTTGTGCAGCGCCTTTCCTTACTTACTCTCTCTTTACAACCAGGGTGCTTTTCCTAGCATTTATTTCCAATTTTGTGTTCCTACTTGCACCTTTGTCTTATGGCAGTCTGAGTCAACCACTATCCATCTGTCTTCAAATTTTTAATGTAATTGAAATTACATTACATACTCCTACATCCTGTTTGATCACATCCTCTTTGCCAGTTATAATTCAGAGGTAACTTGTCAGCATTCAGCTCTCACCGAGAAACGGCAGCATTTAAAAATCTTTTTTTTTTTTAAAAAAAAAACAAACCATGACATTTAGGGCACCAGCTTTAAAAATACTATCAGCAAGCAGTCTTCATTTAACTTTTGGAAACATGGGACAGACCAATGTGAAAACTTCCTTCTGTCCTGGTTTCCTTTCTCTGACCTGTCATAAAGCTGTCAGCCTCCAACATTTCCACCTCATTTCCCACTCACAAACCAAGCCTTTATGTTTTTCCTGCTGCCGGTCTACCAGTCAAGTCCGTACCTCTCAACAAGGTCTGAGACTCACTGTGCAATTGCTAAGCCTCGCAGAGTTTATCTCCCCCAAACCCACGAATCTCTAGGAGGAAAATTTGCTGCAGGTAACCTCCATGCTCAGTGCCGGGGAGATGTGCCGGGGGGGCCTGCCAAGAGGCAGCTGGCCCATCAGCGGCACATCCCCACGCCTGACAGGTTGCAGGGCTGAAGCTCAGGGAGAAAGCACCAGGCAGCAAGAGGTTTTCGGGGCAGGACGGGTGCTGACCCCAAAACACCAGCCGGAGCTGCCAGGGGAAGCGCTGTCCTGGTGCATCCCCGCTCGCCGAAGGGCTGCATGGGGCACGGTCCCCCTGCATGTCACCACCCCGTAACCACGGCAGGGGGCTGGGACACTGCCCACACGTCCTTCCCGGGCAGGGTGTCCTTGTAGGGCAAACCACCACCAAACCCCTCCTCAGTGCCCATGTACACACAGGCACGCAGGGTGCGGGGAGCAATGTGCAAAGCTCGCTGGGGCGGGGGAAGCAGAGCCCTGACCCCAACGGGGCCAACATCCCGCTCCATCCCCCCCTTCCCACCCTACGTCAGAAAGGATACAGGAGCAGGGGCTGCACCCAGCCGCGGGGAGAGGTGCCAGGGGATGGGATCATCCGATCTATCCCCCCCTTCCCACCCTACGTCAGAAAGGATACAGGAGCAGGGGCTGCTCCCAGCCGCGGGGAGAGGTGCCGGAGGATGGCGTCCAGCGGAGCCGCTGCCCCCGACCGTTTCCTGAGCTGCTCCATTGTGCCCGGGCAGTCGGAGCGCTCGGCCCCCAGCCTGACCCTATAAACACAGCCAGGAGGAGCAGGGCCCTGTTGGCGTCTGCAGCCTTAGCCTCGGCTGCACATGCGCCAGCAGCCGTGCATGCTCAGAAAGGCTGCAGAAACCCTGCCGGGAGCCAAGGGCTGGCAGGATTTGCAAATGGGAGGGCCTGCTGGCGGCCGGGACGTACGTGGGGAAAGCTCAGCGCATGCTTTTGCACGTCCCCTCCCTTCCCGTATTTTTCCCCTTCTCTGCCAGCAGTTACTGAGCTGCAAGGATTTCATCAGCCCTGTGCAGAGGGCAACGCTTGGCGCTTTTGGGCACAGACCACGGCCGAGGCCGGCACGGATATTTTCTTTATTTCCTGTCCCTAAGGAGACTGTCAGAGCTTGCCTCGTCCCTCCATGAGTCAGTTTGGAGAGATTTTTACGGCCCCACTGTCATCCCGGTGTGGTGGCGGAGTGTGTTTCCCAGGTACCTCATTTGCACTGATACAGATCTGGGATATCTGCAGCCTGCATCAAATCCCCAGCTGAGGCTGGGTGTTGTGCTGGGTGGCCTTTCTGTCCAGCCTTCTGGGACAGCTCTGGTGCTTTTGAGTAAGAAAAGAGGGGAAGGAGCAAAAGGAGCAGTGCAGCACCTGGGGAAGTGGGGAGGGAGGAAAAAAAAACTCAGAGGAAAACCTGGGGTAGGTAGGTAAAAAATGGGCAGCTACAAATAGAGGTTGCAAAAAATAAGCTGTAGAGGCTTGGTATTCCTCTGCAGCTGGGATACGCTTAAGAGTGGCATATTCAATATATACTGTCCTTAGCACACTCTCATCTGCCTTAATTAACACTGTGAGTGCATCAGCTGACACATTCAAGAAGAATATTAAGGGACTGAAAACAGCCCTGCAACTAAGACCTGCAGCACAGTTCAGAAGACGATTTTTGTCATCTCTGTACATGTCCCCTGTTGCCACCGCACTGTAGAGCCTCACCACCCCTGCAAAGTGGACTTCAGGCCCCCCATGTCACGGTTCAGACTAGCTTGTGCCGCTGGTGTGACAGTCAGTTCATCCGTCAAGCCCTACGCTGTGAAGCAGATGCTGCTGAAAGGTGGGGTATCTCCTGCTGGAATTTGCTGTCCTTCATCTTTCTCCTTTCCCTGGGGCAGGGGGATTCATCTCTGACCAGGATGGAGCGAAGCACTGCAGGGAGGTGGGGACAGAAGTAAGAGCTCTGCAGAGGATGAAGGCAGGAGGAAGGCAGTGTGCTGCCTGCTCTGGGTCCAGCCTTGCAGGCTGCTCTCCCACCTACTCTCTCAGGAAAATGGAGGAGCTGGAGATCTGGATGAGAGAGCAGGAAGAGTAGAGAGGAGTGGTAAACTGAGGGCAGCGAACCCAGTAACGAATACACTGTAATAATATAAGCTGGATAGCAGCATCAGGACTAGAAGGACGTTATGCTAAGAATTTGCATTATTTTGCCAACCCAGCTTATGCAAATAGATCTTCACACCTGCCCAGTTGGTTCATAAACCCCTTCTGCATGAGCAATCCAGCCAGGCCCTGCTCCCAAAGATGCACCATCAAGAGTAAGTCCCCTGGTTGCTCCAGGCAGTCTCATGATGAAAGGACGTGCACCAAACTGCATCACAGCTACTTTATGAAGCTTAACTCCATTGTGCAACAGGTTTTGCTGGAATCTGAGGTGACACGTTGATGGATCAAAAACTCAGCTGTCAATATACTAAGCTTCATGTTACTGCTACAGATAAACAGAAGCCAAGGCATGGATAGGGAGTGCTTCTGAACTTAACCTGTATCCTAAAAGCTGATTCCCTTTAAAACTCACGTGGCAAAACTCTCAATGATTTAAGTAAAGGTGTACCAGAGCAGGTTTTACATACTTCATTTGTGGCAGCTGCCTGGACTGGGGTGCATTCCTGTTTGTGGTTCTCATGGTCAGCGGCTCCACGTATGCTCGGTGCAGTTAGTCACTCCCATCAGGGGCTACAACAAAACACAGGCTGTTCACAAAAATGGGACAAACAAGATTAGGAACCCAAAAAACCCTCACATATGACAAAACTATTTTGTGCAGTCAGAGGCAAGCGTACAGGCACTGTGAAGGGACAACTAGCAGCGGCAGCGACAGCAGCCAGCACTTCACTGCCAACAAAATCAGACCTTTGACTCTTGAGCTATAGGAAAACTCTTAGTCATAGGTAAACAGAAAATTAATAAAAGTCCCTCAAATCAAATTCAAGTGAGGGGGAAGGGAAAGAAAAAAAAAAAGAGGTGACTAGAGTAACAGTTTTATTACTGAAGTCAGTGAGGGGGAAGGGAAAGAAAAAAAAAGAGACGACTAGAGTAACAGTTTTATTACTGAAGTCCTAATTATAACTGCACTGAACGGTCTATTTATAATTCAGATACATGCTGCAATTGCCTTCACAATCCAAACTGAAACAGGAACCTCAGTAACTCTTAATCTGTTTCAAAATTCAGGTAAGAGTCCCACTGAAAAAGATAAAGCGGAACAATACTACACATGCCAATTGTGATACGGACCTGTTTGCAACGTAGATATTTCTTCCACTGTATGTGTTTGACAGCATCTTATGCAAAGGTGTCTTTCATATCTGAAAAAAAAAAACAACAAACCAAAAAGAATATGTAGTTAGTGATTTTGCTGTACTGATTTATGAGTTTGAGAACTAAGATGCTTTTATACATACATAATACACGCTTACATACATATACATGCATTTTTAAACAAGAGCAGCCTCAAAAAACCAATTGCTTTGTGCACTGAATACAATTATTCTTTTTTACTTACTGCTTCTTGGGTAATCTTGATAATACCCAGCCATACTGACTTGTGAAGTAATTCCCATGTCACTGGACCACCCTGTTATTTCACACCCCAAAATTATTCAGGATACCTCATCCACCTTGGCACCGAGCGGATGGTTGAGGTGACTGCCCTTTATTTGTACCTTCACGCTAATACAGTCCACGATCAAACTTTAATACCACAAAAGACTGATCTCGGGCATTGCTGGCACCACTCTGGGCTGCAGCGCTGAGAACCATGCGGTGACATCAATGGCGTGACCGCTGGTTGTGGTGTAGCCGTGCTCTCTAAAAACAGGAGAAGTGTGTGGACACATATGAAAAACCCTGTCCTTTGCATCTCACTCTGATTTTTATCAAAAAAAACCCCAAACCCAAAACACTCCAGAGTGAATAATTTTCAAATCTGTTGACAAGCTTCACTAAAGTACAGACTGAATCTCATGAATCTAAGAAACGAAACGAGGGATTTTCTTCGTTAAGAAACCTGATGGTGGCATTCATCTTTTTATTAAAATTAATGGCATTTAAGAGGGGCTGTGTCTTTGCAAAGTATTTTTACAGCTATGTCTGTCAGTTTCCCGAATTTTATAGAACATTTTTATACATCTGTTTTGCATTTGGCTTTTAGTGTTAATGTTTCCTGTTCATTAAATCACAAAACTAATAAAAACTAAATGATTGAGATTTCTCCAGCAATACAGGAATGGTCCTAATGCACAGTGTTATAATTTAATAAGCATCTCAATTGACTATTAAACTCCACATTATGATCAGAACTGTAATTCCAAAGATGAGGTCTTCTGAAAGCTTAATTTACTGTGGAAGGGAAGTGGCAGCTGCTTCAACTCAACAAAACTAGCTTTTTTTAACTTAGATGCCAGGGAAAACAGATGTAGATGAGACAATAACAACAACAAAATCCACCACCAACACACAGGTTCATTTCTCATCACCAGAAGATTCAAGAAGGACTTCTACAGATACATTAGCAGCAAAAGGGAGGCAAAGGAAAATGTGGACCCAATGGAGAACAAAATAGGGGGACCTAGTGACAAAGGACACGGAAAAGATCAAGGGACTCGATGTCTTCTCTGCCTAGGGCTTTGCTGGCATGGTCTGTTCTTGGCCTCAGTGCACCAAGCAGCGGAGTCTGGGGCCGTGGAGCCTCACTCACACTGCAGAAGACTGAGTTGGAGACCACTGAAGCAAACTGGGCATTTTCAAGTCCATGGGACCATGTGGGATGTATCTGTAGGAGCCAACATGACTGCAAAGCTGCTCTTCTCCTGTGCCAGGAGAGGTTCCTGATGACTGGAAAAAGGCAAATGTCATAGCCGCCTTCACAAAGGACGAGAAAAAGGATCTGGGGACCTCAGCCTTCAAAAAGATCATGGAATAAGCCCTCCTGAATTTGCCATGTCCACGTACGCCGAGGACAAGATGATTTGGAACAGCCAGCACACATTTACCAAAGGCAAACTGGGCCTGGCCAACCTCCTCGCCTTCTGCGATGGAATGGCTCTGTGGGCTAGGGTAGGGCAACGGGCAGTGTGCACCTTGGCCCTAGGAGGGCTTTTGCCTCGTTGGGACAGGCAGACTGCAGCGTGGGTGGAAAACGAGCTGAAGTGCCGGGCTCAAAGGGCTGTGATCAGCAGTACGAAGTGCAGTTGGTCACTAGTGGCATCCCTCAGCTTTCGGTAGCAGAACCGATGCTGGTTCATCTCTGTGCTACTGACCTGGACAAGAATTAATCCTCAGGAAGCTGGCTGATGACACCAAGCTGGGGAAGCAGTTCCTACTGCTGGAGGGCAGGGCTGCCACTTGGAGGGACCTCAGTGGGCAGGCTGGTAGGAACCCCTGGAAGTTCAGCAAAGGCAGAGTGCCATACCTGGCATGGAGTAACCCTGTGCTGTGGGACGAGCTGGGTCCTGCCTGCAAAGCAGCTTTGCAGGAAAGGACTTGACAGACGAGTTGAGCATGAGCGAGCAGCACATGCTCGCAATGAAGAAGGCCGACTGCATGCTAGGCTGCATGAGCAAGAGTGCAGCCAGAGGGTCAAAGGGGAGCGGTTCTTCCCCTCTATGAGGCAGTTTGTGAGATTACATCTGGACACCATGTCTAGTTTTGGGCTCCCCAGCAGAGACATTGACATCCTGGAGTGACTTCAGTGGAGAGCCACCAAAATGAGGGGGTTGAAGCACATGATGCACAAGGAAAGGCTGAGAAAATAGCTCAGCTTGAAGAAGAAAAGGCTCCAGGGAGATCCTACAGCTGTCTGCAAGTACCTAATGGGGGGAGATAAAGACAGCCAAACTCTTCTCGAAGGTTTACAGCAAAATTGAGAGACAATAGGCACAAACTGCAGCTAGGAAAATTCCTGTTAGATGTAAGGAGAAAATTCCGCAGAATGGGGACGGCCAAACACTGAAACAAGGGGTACAGAGAGATTGTGAGATTTCTGTCCTTGGAGATACTCAAAACCTGACTGCACACAGGCCTGAGCAGCCTAATGTGACCTCAAGGTTGTCCCTGCTTTGGACCAGGAGACTGCAAGACATCTGTTCCAAACTGATTTATTCTAAGAGTTCAGCTGTGATGGTAGCAGCATCCTGCAACTGACCTACTACAGTAAGGAATGTGCATCTGAACACAAATCTAAGAGAGATTGAGATTTCTGGCCTTGGAGATACTCAAAGCCTGACTGCACACAGGCCTGAGCAGCCTAATGTGACCTCAAGGTTGTCCCTGCTTTGGACCAGGAGACTGCAAGACATCTGTTCCAAACTGATTTATTCTAAGAGTTCAGCTGTGATGGTAGCAGCATCCTGCAACTGACCTACTACAGTAAGGAATGTGCATCTGAACACAAATCTATTTTTACCTTAGAAATATCAGGACCATTTTTCTGTTGTTACTATTTCCCCCTCTCTGAAGGTTGGAGATGCGGGGCAACAGCTTTTTCATGCCTTCAAAAAATACAACAGAAAATATGTCAACATTGCAAGCAAAAGCACAAAACAGCACTGGTTGGAATATCAGCATTAGCTTAAATACGTCTTGGGTGACGGAAGGAAAGATGTAGTGTTGTGGTCTGGAGATGGGGCAGGCAAGGCAACGAGGTATATACCTGGAATCAGAGTCTGGAGCAGCAAAGCCTGTGCTGAAATCTAGACTGCTGCTGCTGGAAGCAGAGCAAGCCAGATTAAAGCTAGTTTAGATGCACGTGGAGGAAATCCAGGACACATGGTTGTGGTGCAATTCTAGTTTGTGGAGAGACAGGCTGCCACCAAGTTGAACAGCGTCGCCTTCCACAAAAGCAAAGTCCTGTCTCTAGTTCCTGGCCTCTGCTGAATTTCAAGCTTTGGGCAACCCCTACCCACCTACAGAGGCACTGCAGCCTGGCTTCTCTCTCCAGCCTGAGAAACAGGGTCTCGGGACTACAGCTGTCCCTAACTTCTGAGCTGTGGGTGCGCACCCACTCCTAAAGACACAGATGCCTTCAGAAGTACCAGGGACAGCTGGATCCATCATAGCCAGCTCTGAGCACTAAGAGCTTAAAAAACCCCAAGCTTTTCCTGCACGGTTGGCCCTTGCAATGCCAGCTGACCTCAGCAGTTAGCGAGCTGATAAGCAGAAGTCTCCTTCACACATGTTGCTCCTATTGAGGTCCTACAGCTCCCCAAAGGGATCCCCTTCTCCCTCATGACTGCCCAGCCTGGGAAAAATGCCTAGCTAAAGGCTGAATAAGGGGATATTTTATTACCTTTCCCCTCTTCAAGCACTGGCCACAGAGGTTGCTGTCACGTCGTGTGGTCAGAATGCAGATGTACCCCCAGCAGGTGACTCTTCCCAACTGTTTGCCAGAGGTTCAGTTAAAAAAGAAAAAAAAAAAATCATCAATAAAACAGCAAGCGGTGGCCATCCTGCCCATCCGTTCCCCCCGCAGTCACTCAGGTTTGCTGCCCTCTCGCCGCAGCATTCACATTAATTCTCTTATCTCCTAAGTAGAAAAGGGTCAGTCCTGAATTTCTAGCAGAACATGAAATCAAAGTAATACCTAAAAAAAAAAAAAACCAAAACAACAGGACAAGACTATTCTGACTTTATATACTGCCACAGATAATTTTAAGTGTTATTTTTCCCCTGATGCAGGGGAAAAGCAAAAGGCTGAGGAAACCAATGTATTAAAGAGAGAGAACAGATACTAGCTTTCCAAGAACACATGCTACTTATCAAATGTATTGCTTAGGCTAGTGAATATTCCAATCATTAAATTCTTTCTTCTCAGTCTCCACTCTTCTCAACTTCGATGGAGTTTACAAGCAGCCTTCTCATACAGACTGAGGGATGGAAGTTGGTGCATGCAGAGGTACCTGTGTATGCAAACGAAAGCACATTACGTTTGTATAAATGACTGGACATAGCTAATAAAACCAACTGTTCACTGTTGCTTTCTTACAGCTTTTTATGCCAGCATCTCAAAAAACTTCATTTAAAAGGAGATCTTTAAGTGTCTTGCTTAAAGCTGCATGTCTTTGGACTTGCTAGCCAGTACAATATACCCTCCTACAGCTTATGCTTGATCTACCACCTCTTATTTAGCAAAACAAATCATGAAACTTCTTATACAAATCACCACACTCCTTAACTGATCAGGTGATGCTAACAGAGGACTTCCCAACTCAGTGATCGCCCACTCAGCTGCACATTTCAGCCAGCCAAGCCAGGAAGCACTTTGGGATGTAAATTCCAGCCATCAGGAAACATCAGGAGGGGCTTCGACCATCAGTTCACCCGAGAGAGGGGTTTTGCTCGTAGCTGGCTTCAGCAGCTGCAAAGGGAAGTTTTCCTCTGAAAATCCAAACGGTTCTTGTCACGAAAGGTTGGAGCCATGGTTGTGAATTTTCACTCACCTCGCTGGCTAAGCAGCCTTCCTCCGCACACCCTTCCCCTTGAAGATCAACCTTCTACCGTTCAAGGCACGTCTAGGGAAGGAGAAGTGTTGGTTTCACACCTGGCTGATGAACTAACCAGCATAACAAGTGAAAAAAAACCCCAACATCTACCAACCAGTGTATTTTTCTGCTCAGGGTGAGCTCACACACATCTAGCGCCAGTTTAAAATACAACAGGTCTTTGTAACAAGTACTTTCACGCAGAAGTACTCAACTCTTTTGCATGCATTTGGTCTAGTTAGGGGTTTTTTAATCTAATAAAATAACCTATGTAGTGACAGTCTTGTCCATGACCATAAAGAAAATGAACAGAAGCCAACTCCACAGTTTTGTATCAGGATACAGAATAAACTTCACAAAACGGCAGGAAAAAAAAAGGAATTACACCAGTATTTTTTGCACAGACAACTGGTTTTTGATGCTTTATTTTCAAACTGCTGTGAAAAACCTAACCATTTTTTTTTTTTCCCAAAGCAAAGTCAAAAACTCAGTTACTGCTTTGAGGGTTTGTTGTGAACACGCAACTTGCAGACTTCTCCAGGAAAAGGAGCGTGAGGTTCTGTGTGGTTTAGGCTACTCATGGGGGGGGGGGGGGGAGAAAAATTATACCTTTGCAAAAGGTATCTGTTGAGAACACTACTGAGTGGAAAACAGATGAGCCAAGTTTTGCCAGAGTCTTCACTAGGAGCAAGACTGGAAATTTAAACCTTGCATGATGCACAAGACTGGTTCATCTCTAGAGACTCATTTTTCATACAGAAGCCCTTGTAATTCGTGCTGGTGGCAGTAATGGTTATCCAAGATTTTCTTCTTCCTGGTCTGAATATCAAGGAGCAAATTCCACAATCTGGAAAAGGCTTAAAAAGAGCCGGTTCAGTGAAGCGCGCTCAGTCCCATTCAGCAGAAGAGCCGCATGGTGTGTCTCAGCAGAGCGGAGTTAGCAGTGAGCCTGCTGCAACGGGGCAGCTTACGGTGCCGTCGGGGAAAAGACGGGTTTCAGCATCCGTTCCACTTACAGGGCTGCTCACGAACCCTCCTCTAGCTTACAGCAGGCACAGCCAGGACTTGCAGAGGAAACAATTCAAAACCGTCGCATACTTTGTGCTGATAAGTAAAATAAACAAAATAAAGTGGATAATGTACTTGGAGATAACCTACTTGCCCCCAACTTTGGCATGCAGGTGGAGATACTCTAGATTACCACTGGACATCACAGCTTGCAGAACTGATCAAAGGAGTAATAACAGCTATCAATATAACTACACTTGCAGTAAAATAAAAAAAGGAGGATTTCTCCTTTTTCCAGTTTGTAATTCAGCTAGGAATCAGAAAAGTTCATGCACTTGTACAAGAGCAATAAAAAAAATTAAATATTTATTTTGAATAACAAGCTTAAGTTCAAGCTGCAATGTTGGCAATGTAGATTTTAAACACGGATCACAAAAGCGTGCACAAAAATGTATCTGAGCAAAGAACAAAATAATACTAAGAATTATACTAAACAGCTGCTGATTTTAAAGAAACAAAAAAGGCTTGTAATCACTATACAAAATATAAAATGTTTTAAACACTATCATCCACAGAACAGAGGTTTATTTTAGTTTGATTATATTTAAAAATTATTTGTGTAGTTATTTATATAGTGAATTGTAAATGAATATTATACAGTAACCTCCTTTTGGTCTGCAAAACCTTTGTTGCACTATAGCACATCCAATCACATTGCAAAAAAAGAATTATTTTTCCTTACTATCAATAAAGAAAACAATCATTGATAATACAGTAAATATTGTCAGGTCTACAAATAATGAAATTAAAAATGACTCCTTCGACTCTGAAGCGCTTTCCATGCAAAGTCAGCACTTGCTCGTTTAAACAGAGTGCACTACCAAGCAATGTCCAGGGTCGTAGATCCTCTTGGTAAGACTAAACCTTACAAAAAAAAAAAATTAAAAAAAAAAAAAAATCAAAGATTGAATGTAATCATGCAACCCCCTTACTACTGGGTATACCCACTGTGTCGCTTATCAATTTATTGCCTTTCTGGAATATCACTCAAGGCATCAAAATTAGACTTATGATAAATATACATATAATGAAAGGACACAAACTGCTATTCGACACTACTACTGGTAATGTCTGTGCTACGTGAAAGCACCTTTAAAAAGAGCCTATGCGGCAAGAGATAAGTGTCTAAAGATTCAAAATGAATCAACAGTATTGGATAACAATATAATTCTCAACTTAGAAGCTGCCTCAAGATTAGGTGCATCTTCAGTTAATGTAACAGGAAAAAAAGGCAATGGATTTTATTTTATTAATTGTATCCACTCATAAACTGACCTAAGGCCACCAGATGTGCAGACACAACAAGTTTTCTTTTCTTTTTACAGTTCTTTAAATTGTAGGATGATAAAGGAATAGATCTATTTAAAAACAAACAGCTATTTCATCTATATTAAGAGGTGGCACCGGGCGTCGGGTTCACGTTTTGAGTGGCCACCTGTGGTGCGACTTCAATGATTCGTGGTTTGTCTATAATTCTGGCCGTGCGGTTGCCCTTCTCTACAATGCCGATAATCCATGCTTGGTGACCTTCACCGTATTTTGGAGACTTGATCTCGGCACAGAAACGTGCTGCCTGTTCTCGTGGTAAACAGATGAGGAGGCCTCCTGCAAAGAAAAAAAGCAGAGCATTAAAATGTCTGATGGCAAAGCACTTCAACCTTGATCTGTCAAATCCTTACTTAGACAAGTACTTGGTGACCTCAGTGGATTCTGTCAAACTCCAAGGACTCCAAGAGAAGACAAGGTGGAAGTCTGAGCTCTTGCTTTACAGAAGGAAGTTTGTGTCTGAATTCAGCATTTAGTGGGTATGTAAATGAAGCCAAATACATACAAAAGATGTTGGCAAAAGGACATCATACTGATGCCAATAAATGACATACTGAAACAACACCAGCACTGTAAACTTCCAACAGAGAACTGCAAAGTGCCTCTACACGGAAACATTTTGGATAAAGGTCATATTCAGGTACCTGTAACCACATATTGGTAGCAGCTGATTCTGCAAGTAATCCCACTGCCTGCAAAGAAATCATTCATCGAAGCAGGGGCTATTACCAGAGAATGCAAGAGGCAGAAAATTAAACATAGGCTTGATCCAGTGCTCCCCCTGACAGCCCTTTTGACCCCCTTGTTAGGGAATTTTCTAACCTTTTTTAGCCTTTCCCGTAAGATTTTTTCTCAGAGACAACTGAAAAATATTTTATTTACTAATGAATGCTTTTCAGAAGCAGCACAATAACTAGTTAACAAGCTTGCCATTCAGTTATTAAACCTAAGAACACTTCCATTGTAAGAATCCCAAAGCACTGAAAAAGGTGGCTTGGCAAGTGAATAACTAGAATGAGTTTCATTGTCAGCTCTGGCACAAATTTCCAGGGGGCTCTGACCAAATCATTAAAGGTTTTGGCGCTACCATTTACTACTAGAGTATTCAGCTTTTCTATATCCCTTACCTTTTTTACATTTATGCTGTGTTGCAAACGTGTGAAGCACTGCAACACAGAGCAGCAAACTCATCTGCAGATGCCTAATTAAACCTCAAAGCATCGTACAGCTTGCACAGCTCATGTCTGTACACCGTGCTGTATTCTGGCACACAGCAGCCTCATAAGGGATGTTAAAATATCATCTCCCATTGGAAAATGTTTGGAGAACACAGGCAAGAGAATATATTCATGCAAACCGGAATTTGGGCACGTGCTGAGGCTTACTTACTCTTAAAGAGTTACTTGAACCAAAGTCTTCTCGTCCGGGCAAAGGGCATCAGCCAGCAGCACAGGTCATGCCACCAGCTCTGAGCCAATGCTAGGGGTGAAGGGCCACCTGGTGAGCCGGGCACCCTGGGCTCAGTGCCACCTCCTCCTCTGCGGCCCTTGGACAGCTTCTTAGCACCTTGGGCACCTTTATGTTTGCTTTTCCAAGCAAACAGTCCTCTCGGTGGTGACTAAAGACACTTTTAATTTAAGGCCGTGAGGAAGAATCAGCTACCGAACATGAGGAATTATTTATAAGGATACATGGAAGTGTGAAAGTTATTTTTTAGGTTCTATATGAAGCAAATGAGTGTGCCATCCAGAAAAACACCTACCTCTCTCAGACATTTCAGAACATAACATCCAGGTACTTCCATCAAAAACAACAAAAAAACCTCCCAGAAACTTGAAAAACAGTGTTTAAGTTACTCCAGATGTAACAGACAAATGAATTGCAAAGGAATTATGTGCCATTCCCATGGAAGGCTCTAAATCAAATTGAAGAGAAACTTAGGTCATGGTGCAAGTGAGTCAGGGAAGCGGTTTGCAAGTGGTACTGCAGAGAACGTGCTACCTGGCCAGAAGGGAGGAGTAAAAGCATGGTGAAAAAGGAAGTAAGAAAGAGCACAGGAATAATCTTTGCTCAATTACCTTTTCCCCCACACACTCTCTTTCTGCAATTTTGTATCACTTGTACACATACCCTGTTAACATTCTTTGGCAAGATCAGAAAAATGTACAAAATCCCAGTTTTCAATCAAAATTACTTTCCACCTGCTGGCTGCATCCCACAGTTTGACCAATAACCCTTAACGGAGGTTATAGGCTACGCTCGATCAGTAGTAGGATCCTGTCTGCAGGGATTATAATTATTTCTCTGGTAGATTGACCAGTCTCTTTAACCCTTTGGGCAAGTCCTTAAGGCTTTCCACTACGTAATCTAGTCTAGTCTATTCTATGTTACTGGCGTAACAGCTGCTCTGGTTTTTGTCCCATGGACAACTACAAGAAGTCATCACCTGTGCAAGGTCACAGCCACCAGGAGTTTAAGTTGTTGCAACGTGTCTGTAGAAAATGAAGCACCAGTGCCACTCTGCACCAAAGCAAGCAGCATTTCATGGTGTACCAAGTTTTTGAGGTCTGTGTCAGCCACCACTGAAGACAAAGCAAATGGGCTGCAGACGGAAAGAACAAATGGCCGTGGTGGTTTGAGAGCTTGCTGCACGCTTCTTTTGGGGGTTGAAAAGACACAGATACCTGGTATCTGTTCTGGCTTACCTTTCTAAAAATCTAAGGGGTTTTTTGGTAGGGGGCCTTGAACATTGTTGGTTTTAACTGTTCTAGTGCAAGCAGGGAACTGGACAGAAAACTTCAAAAGCAGACTAGACAGAGCTTTGCAATTAAGAGCAGAGATACAAACAGTTCATGAATCCAAACCAAGTGTCCTTGCTCCTGCTAATGGCTTTCTCCCACAATGACTAACAAAAGGATGAGATCATTAGCCTTGCCTCGTCAGGCACTAACACAGCCCTCATTTTCTACCCGTCTGCCTATTTCCACAAAATTTGCAGAAACACCGTGTTGTTGAGATATCTCTACTACACTAAAAAAAGTTGGTCGACACCAGTCAACAGTTTATTAAAAGAGGACTGACAAAAATACACACATGCATGAATAGCCCATATGGGGTAAACTTTGTAACTTACTTCTGCAAACAACAGAATTAAGTTTTTTGAAACTAAATGCCTGATTACAACTTAAACCCTTACCAAAGAGTTACCTAAAAGAGAGAGCAAAACAATGTAAAACTGCAATTTTAAGAAAATACATCATAAGCAAGAGTGCCTGGAGGATGGAACAGATGACATAAATCTTTCCAACATTGACTTTTGTCAACAGGTGCCCAGCAAATGCGCACTGGAAAAAAACACAACAGTCTTAAAGTCCATTCAAATAATTTTCCAGTAAATTTCTCACTGCCTGCCCACTATGCTGAAAAACATCTGTTCACACATGAAGAAGCTACAGACAGAGCATTTTTGGAAGTTTAAGACAACAGAGAAAGAGCGTATCTATATTATGGTATGAGCAGCCCTGAGCAGCCCCCCAAAAGGCATCCTCACAACTGGATATACAGGCGCAGCAAGACAGATGCTTGCCTTCACATAAATCAACCCCAGGACATGAAGTGCGCAAACATCGTGGGTCTGAATGCTAACGAGCCACCCCAGCACACCATGCCCAAGCTAATACACGCTGCTGCAATGTGTCAGGCTATCCAGCGTAAGCCTACAGGACTGCAGTTATACAGCTTTCAGACCAGAGCTATTGTGTCCACGTGCCTATGGATCTTTCTAATATTTGGCAGACGCTGCCCTGCAACAAATCCCTATAGTCACCTCTAATGCGAGAAACGCAACGCTGTGATGAAATCAAATATACATGTTTTGAGGCACCCAAAGTTCACAAATAACCAGGTATGTCTTGCTGTTTTTTCCATCATCATCTGTCTACGTTGAAACGTAAGCCATTCAGCATTTCAAAGACACCTCTTGCTCTCAGTCCCAAAAGGGATTCTGAAGTTGACTGTTTTCCGCTTCCAAGTACACTCACAGCAGTGCGCACATCCGCACCGTTTCACATTCCTTCAGTGAGAAGACAGAATTGGATATCCCCAGGGTGCGGGATGGGCAGCTCTGAAGACTCAAGCACTCAGTTCGCAGCTAAACCATTCCCATGCCAACTGCTATACAAACCTCTGCCACAGCCACTCACCTGAAAGAGCATCCTGCAATTAGCTCTGTGTCCACGTATTTTTTGGCCTCTTTGCAACTGGTAACAAATGCTACTAGAACTCTGGTTATGCGGACTCCTGGGTAGTAAAAATCTGTCTGGTGCTACCAACCTTATGGACACAGCTTGCCAAACTGCCACCAGATATATATTTCTGGTCTCTGCTGACTGACGCTGGATTTGAACTCTTGAAAGGGTTCACGTCCCATATCCTATTACACATCATCCGAGCCATACAGTCTCTGTAGGACAGAGTCTGTTTAAACACAGATGGCCAAGGAACAATTCAACAGATCGTGGTTAAGTTGTGTATTCACTAGGGGAAAAGTTTATGGCTCTCACTGTGATGCTTCTTTCCAGATCTTAGGACTGTTTTGCTTCAAGGGGCCCCCTCTGTTGTGAACTGCAGAGAACTTGGATAATACTTTTGGAGAGCAGGAAGAGGGTGGAGAAATGAGATAAGAGAAAAGACAGATTTGTTGCTACATCTTCTCCATTTCCCAAATACAAAGAAAAGTCAGATTAAAGAAGGAAAACAAGATAGAACAGGACAGAAGATTCGGGGGGAAAATGAAATACAGAGACTTCCAGCAGAAGACAGTGATCAGGCCTACTCTTAATAATAAGGCAACTTTCAAACATCAGAAGTTCTTATCACCTGATGACTGCTTAAACGCTTATCTGAAACTTGGGTGTCCATAGCTTGATTCTCAGTACATGCCTATTGTATTCATTGTCACTGCAAGTGGCAGCTTTATTAAATAGAGAACTCAAGTAATGGATGGGTCAGAGACCAAATTCTTTTTTTTTTTTTTTTCTGCTAGCCACAGCCCCTTAAAGTCAGATTTCATATATGTAAGGGAGAAAATCTATATTCTTGGATGCCTGTATGCTGTGGACAGAGAAGGCCTCAGTCGCTGAGACTGGCCCATTCAGCACTAAAACTTCACACATATTCATAATGACAAACAAAACACGACTCATTTGACTGGCAAACCTACTGCAGGTGGCTTTACCTTTGAGAAAACTGTCAGCTGTGCTGGGATTTTCAGATAGTCACTGTTCTGGAGTTAACAGCTACGAGAAAAATAGGTTTCAAAAGAATTCAGAATCATCACTAACTTCTAACCACAAGATGTTCTAGTTACAGCAAGGGTTTCTATAATAGGGTTTCATAAGGAAGGACAAGGCATTCAGAATAGGATGATGGTTTGGAAGTTAGGCTGAAGAAGTTAATTGTGAACAGTTGTGTGGCTAATGCTCATTAGCTTGGCTAATACACCAAACCAACTGTGATTCTGAATGCAAAGCACATGATTTGTACATTTGAAATGTCATTAAATTCTGACGTGGAGGTGTAGGGAAGGAAGATGGTGGTACAACTGTCACCTACCTGAAGTCTCTGGACAAGTCCCGTGCATGAGGCCAAACATATTGCCACAAGCCTTACTGACAGCAGCCATTTTAGCAAGAACAGGAAGGTTATGAATAACAAAGGACACCTCATTTCGCTGCTGCTTGGCAAGGTTTTGTGCATGCCCCAGGATTCCAAATCCTGTGATGTCTGTAGCTGCATGTGCATTGAAAGTGTGCATGAGTCCAGCAGCTACAAGAGAGGGAGGGGAAAAAAGCAAATCAGAAAAAAAATTGTCAGGAAAAGCAATGCTTCAACAATATTGTGCAGAGTTTGAATGAATGAAGTTGCATACCTTTAATTTTAATCAGGTTGGGTTACTGTTTAAATTAATTAAAAAAAATGCTTGGAGGAACTGGAATTCACCAATACTGCATGTAACACTTAAAAAATTCAACTTGTATTTAAGGTATTAAATCATGCTGAAAATCCAGCACTGAAGTTATATTTATGAGCATGCTCTATTAGACATGTGCTACTAATTTATATTAGCAGTCTAACAAACAGGGGTTTGCTCCAGATTCAAATTTCCCGAAGTTGAGGGCCAGAGAAGTTCTGAGCTCAGATTTGCTTCATTAAGGGCAAGGACCAGACTCATCCTGGGTCAATTTTCTCACATTTCTTTCCCTGCCACTCCATAAAACTATCACATCAGAACTTAAGTTCTGGACACTTAAAGTTTAAGAGCTTAAGAACAAAGCCTGCAGGTTGTGGGGGAAGGGCCCCAGCCTCCCCACCTATGCATTTGTGAAATTCTTGGGCATTTGCAACTACAGAGCCCTGGGTGGGAGAAGGGCACCCCTGCATGCAGGACAATAGCTCCAGTTAAGAATATTTAAGTGTTGTTAAAAGTGCCTGACAAGAGTGAGTGGAGAAAAACAAAACCGAGAATGCTTTGTCCTTCTTTGGTGCTTCCCAATACATGAGCAGGACCCGAGTTCTTTTCCATAAGACAATCCTGGTCATTTATTTTTCCTGGAAGACTTTGTGAAAGAATGAAAAAACCAGTGGGGTGACATAACAAATACCAAATGAAAACTGAATAAATGGGAGAAGAGATATTTAACTACCCCTGTTCCTTCAACTGAGAAGTAAGGAAACACCTAATTCAATTCTCTGCTCCTCCAAAGATACTTTGAACAAAGAAAGGAAATCCTGGATTAAAATTTCTAGGGTAAAAGCAGAGCCTTCCTTCCCCCTACCAAAATTAAAAGGAAAAAACAAAACAAAACAAAACAAAACAAAACAAAACAAAACAAAACAAAACAAAACAAAACAAAACAAAACAAAACAAAACAAAACAAAACAAAACAAAACAAAACAAAACAAAACAAAACAAAACAAAACAAAACAAAACAAAACAAAACAAAACAAAACAAAACAAAACAAAACAAAACAAAACAAAACAAAACAAAACAAAACAAAACAAAACAAAACAAAACAAAACAAAACAAAACAAAACAAAACAAAACAAAACAAAACAAAACAAAACAAAACAAAACAAAACAAAACAAAACAAAACAAAACAAAACAAAACAAAACAAAACAAAACAAAACAAAACAAAACAAAACAAAACAAAACAAAACAAAACAAAACAAAACAAAACAAAACAAAACAAAACAAAACAAAACAAAACAAAACAAAACAAAACAAAACAAAACAAAACAAAACAAAACAAAACAAAACAAAACAAAACAAAACAAAACAAAACAAAACCAGAAAAAAAAAAAAAACCAGAAAAGAAAACATGTGCTACATATTCCACACTTTGGGAAGCACATAACGTGACAAAATTAAAAAATAAAAATTTAAATTGAAGCGTACAAAAATGAAGAGCTTTTCCTTTTTTATTCTATTTCAATTTTTTTTAACCTTATTACAGTCAGGCCCTCACGAGTTCTCTAGGCACAGAAGATAAGGAACAAATCCAATACATTTCCCTTTAAAACATCCTCTAACTCACTGGGATGTTACTTGCAGCACTCACATGAGTCATAATCATCTCCAGTGGCATTTGTGTTTTTGCTGTATAATTAAAAGGGGGTGTTTGATTTTAATTTGCTTGCTTCACAAACACTGAACAGCAGAAAGATGGGGCAGAAGGAAGGGATAAAGCAGCTGTGTCACATTTCCCCACGGCAATGAAATGAAATGAAGTATGGAATTGGAAAAACCCACCACCTCCCCTCCACCCTTCCAACACACACATCTCTCTTCTTACCTGTTCTGTTCAGTCGTGCCATATTCATCATTGCTTCCTGGTATGCTAGTTCTACATCTTCTTGCGTTACCACTAGTTTGATTTTATTCCACTTTTCTGGCTAATGGATGGAATAAAGATGATTCTTTTAGATTTTCAGCTGTATATTTTAAAGCACACCCTTACCACTTTAAAAAAAATCCTTCATCCAAAATGTACTACTACCTTTTTTTTTTTTTTTAAACTCAGTTAAAGAGGGGCAAAAGGTTCAACAGTCAGAGGTGTGTGCCTTACTCTGCTGTACCTAAGTGAAGTTCATTTAAAAATCTATTAGGCACTAAGCACCTCAAATCTCACTTTCAGCAGCAGAGTGGAGCGGAATAACCTACCCTAGGGCAAGGACCTCCTTCAAGGCAACTCTCTGGCTTGAACTCCGCAGCAAATGAAAATGTTGCTGGATGTTGAGATTTGTAATCTCTGGCTTCTTGGTTTTTTAAGAGAAAATTCTTGATTTCACATCTGGACACTTTGGTCAAGAAAGGCCACTGATATTCACAAGTCCAGGTCTGAGGAATGTATGCTAAGGCAAGATGTAATCACTCTAGTGAGTTAGGATTAAGGCAGTTTCATAAGCTTCCTTTACAGTTTAATACCAGCATCTCCTTACACCCACTCTCCAGTGTCTTGCATGGACTCATGCCTCCATCACATACTAAGCAGTGCTTTTCATCCCCAAAGGCTCTCAGAACAATTTAGGAAATGGTACCTTTATAAAGGGCAATTGTTTCATTCAAAGCTGAAGTAATTCCAGATCCAGAATGAAACAAAGCAACCATTTATAGCTGTTAAGAGCAACACTACAAACTGCTTTAATTTTCTTCTTTTTTTACAATGGAAATAAAATTACAGAGAACCGAAAGTAAACAAAAATAGTATTTTTGACACCACAATGCCTACACTGCCATTCCGCAGAACAAATGCATAGAACAAACTTCTTACTAAACCAAAGGTGCAAAAGCTACTAAGAATTGGTATATGACGCTGCACTGGGGAAGGATCTTGTCAAAGAGACTCTTATCCTTAACAAATGAGCGCTGACTTCAACGGGTGTAAGAGAGAATCCAGAAACGGCAAGAGGGGGAAAGAGACCTGTCAGCCAAAACAAATCATTTGTTAAAGAGCAAGGAAGTATAGCAGTAAGATCAGAACTTCTGAAATTAGATAGAACTGGGTCTGACCAATTAAGTAAGAGAGAGAGCAAGTAAAAAAAAAATAAATGAGGCTCTTAGAGAAGGAACAGAATAGTGATTATTCTTACTGTGGGTATGACTGAAAAAACTGAACAGTCATTCTGCCTTAGTTTTCAAAAACACAGTTCTGAGGCTGATCATGGGATGGAAACCAGCCAGATGATGGGAATGGAAATCACAAATGAGGTGGAAGCAGGACTCAAGGCTGAGGTTAGAAGAGCCACAAACACAGGTGGGATACAAATTAGATGCAAATTCCTCTCCACTATAGCAACCAGATATTGGGGTTAGTAGAGAGGAAACAAAGGCAGAAAAGTTCACAAAAATCCCCAAACAACTTTTAAAAGCAAGCTTAGATTTCCAAATGGGAATGGTCTGTAGACAACAGCAAAGGCTAGAAAACCCCTTCTGAAGGGGCACATCATAGCAACCCCTTTCATGCTTTTCAGCTGAAAGAGGAAAAGGCAAAGGGATGCCAGTTCTCAGCTGTGGACCAGCCTAAATCAGTCCACATCATCAGCCTGGCAAGCAAAGCCACAGCAAACATCTTCATCACCCCTAACACATCCCTGACCTGGTCCCCAGCTCCCTGCAAACTCTTTGCAGTCTCTTCCTTTGCACCCTCTGGCAGCTGCTGCCAGCAACACAGCTGGGGCTTGGCTGCAACAATGCTGGCAGCAACGAAGCAAGGAAGACAAATTTTGCCTCCATTTGCATCTTCTTTCCACTTGTCACCAGGAACTATTTCACTACTGGTCTGTTTAAATACCTCAGCTTTTACATTGCCTTTTTTTTTTTAAATGTTTAATTTAAATTTAATTTAATTTTTAAATTTGTCACACATATCTCTACACTCCAGTTTTCCTTTCTTGCCTATTAATAAACTTGCTGTACTATGTACCTTCTCACACATACTTTTCAATACAAAGTCAAGTTCCCTGCCGAAATTTGATTATGGGTGGATTTGTGATGGGTAATTCTAGTTTCACTTTCCCCAGTCTTTCACAAAACGAAGCTGAAGAAAAGGCAGCACAGCTACTCAGAAATTTTCCTACCACAATCAAAGATACATGCTGTTCACATGTAATAGGATTGATTTCCTTGCTGTCCTCATTTTTCAGACCAGAAAGTGTTTCTAGTTGACAGTCAAGGAAATTAGAAGTACTTGAAATATGTGGTAATTCAGAATATCCTTAATTTGCAAGTCTGTTTGTCAGTACTGTAATAGATATGTTAAGATGTAAGATTATGGCCAAAAAACATACTATAAAATTGGTGTCTTGTTGTTTCACTTCATTTTCATATCAAGATTATCTGAGGCCCTGATCCTTATATCTGATTGGAAAACGCAGGATTCTGCAGAGGTCAAAATTGCTAGGCCAGACCCTATGAAGAGGGAGAAAAATATTTTTTTCTTGTTGCTCACGCTTCAGACTCCAATGAAAGTTTAAGCTGGTTCTCTCCCACTTCTGCTAACACAGGCTTTGTAATTAGAATTCATCTGACAATGTAGTGGCCAACAGCCAAGACAAAGTAGATTCCAGCTCACTCCTCTGCCAGTCTATTGGCTCAGTAGTCCCAAAAGTAGAAAAGATGCATCTTTTTAAAGTGTAAACTGAGCAGTTATAATTCTGAAGACACGTACTGGGAGCCAGACAACGTAAGCAGATGCCAATTTTGCAGTCACTTTTCAGTTCAGTAGTTACATTTTTGCCTGAAGTAACAGATGGAAGTATGTCTACATACATAATGCTGCTAGAAATATTCTTATTGAATGCACAGGGTAATACATGTGAAACGTAGATATATTTCCATGTACAGAAGCAGAAAGCCCATGAACACAGCAATCTTGGCTTAATTGCCATCAATAAGCTTTTGCCAATTATTTTGGCAGGTGGAGTAGGGCATAATTTTACCCAGGGTGCTAGTCTGTTGTTCTGTTAGTAAACAATTTTGTTTATTACAGCAATGCCTGAGAACTAACTAAGAATTAGATGCAATTAAGATGGGCTCACTAAGCACAAAACAGTAAACTGTCTCGATTCCAAAAGAGTTTTGCACATAAGCAGGTAAGGCTGACACACCAAGGAGGAAGGAGGAGAGAGAGGTGGTAGATCATTCCCAACTGAGCCCTCAGTGTACTTATTACACTGATGAACTTTGTCATTTTGAGGTTTTGAGGGAATAAGGAAGGTCACCTTTAACTCACACCCCTCTTCCCCATTTCTTTTTTTGCAGTGTACTCACAATATCTAGCCACTGGTGGACAGCTACAGCCACTTGAGTTCCCAAGGGTTTAGTTAATACAAGCACATCTCCTGGCACTGCATTGTCTGGCCTAAAAACAAAGAATTCATATATTAATTACATAGTGAGATTCACACAGGTTCTTAGGAATAAGTGTCGATAATTACGATAATTACATTTTCACAGACCCATGTATCTTACTGCACAGTTAAAAAACTGACTAATTGCAGAATTACCCTTTGGGATTCATTGGCATGGGATATTATTGAGCAAAAAGCTGAAAACTTATTTAAAAGTGCTAATCCTTCTTTCCTGGAATATAACAATGCTTGCAGTCAGACACACACAAAATTACATCTTTTCTTTCAATTTACTGGAGATGTAAAATACGATAGGGAAAAAAATTGACCTTTGTTACTTCAGGGCATAAGATAACCATCACTAGGATCAAGAACAAATCAATTTGTATAGCATAACATGCCACAGTGGAACATTCAAAATCAGCTACTGTTAAATGGACAGAGTGCTGTAAACACAGCAATTCTGTAGCTCTCTACAGCCATTAATCAGATAACTGGGAGATGGTTTAA